TCAGGATCAGGGCTCTAGATATTATTATCTAGCGTGATAACGATATTTAGCTTTGTTAATAAGTCACCTGCTTTGGAATAAATAATGGTTGACAACTCAACTCAAAAAAACTCAAGTCGATTGAATTGTTTAATAAAAAAGATCATATATAATCTTTCTATAAATCCAGAAATCTAAAAGATTTATTGCAAGGACCCAATCACAGAACCGGTTCTAAAGCTCAAATCTTGGTTCGATACAAAGGGTAGCCTAAAGAAAACTGGACCATTAACCTTTAATATGCAGTAAGCTAGAAAAAAAAAATTTTTCTAATTATGAGATGACGACTGTAAAATAAAAAATAAAGTCATAACAAACAATAAAATTTAAATTTACACTTTTATTAATTTAATATAAAATATTATTTAGATGTGGTACCGGATTACGCCGGATACCCGAAAAAAAGTACAATCGATCAGCTATTAGTGGAAAATAAATATCAAGGGTACTTCTCTAATATTACTTGTAAAAAATAAAATTAGATTTTAAAATATTTCCGGATTGCTTAGAAAATTTTTTTAATCAATAAGTTTAAAATAAAAATTAAGTTAAATCTTAAATATAATGACCACGTCCGAACTCTTTGTGGTAGGTTCATGGAGTCAACTGACAACCCGTTGCACTGCAGATACTCTACAGATCGACATACAGCAATAAACTTCATCATCCGCAATGTCTTAACAAAGGCGAATATTATGTCAACATCCCAATAAAATAACCCTTACCTTGCACTATACGTGCATAGACTTTTCCATAGAAAATGCCAAAAATATTAGGACATTGAAATATTTCTTCCTTGCGCTAGTTAGGTAACTATGAAAAATCATTCTTAATTTTTTTTTAACTGATAAAGGAACTTTCTAACAAACCTTTTCACCTGATAAAAAAACACCCATAGAAAATACACCGTTCTAAATACTCTGTCTTTAATTATTCAGAGTAGAGTGGAATAATAGTAGTCAATCGATTTTTTTAAAAATGTTATTATAAAAATTGAGTATTTTGCCTATGTATTTTTTTGCAGGGACCCGAACCGTTATTTATAACGGTTCAGTATGTAAAAAATTATAATGGTTACATTTTGGTTACGGTTCTTAAGAAAAAACAAAGGTTCGGTTCAGCAAGTATAAAGGTTCATAATGGTTCATTATGGGTAGAAATTTTTTTATTGAAGCAACACCATCATCTAATTTATTATTATAAGCATCTATGAATTATATATAAAAAAAATATATAAGATTCAAAATAACTAATTTTTAAATATATTATAAGTAATATATTTTCTAATATAAATGTATTCATATTTGTTTGTTGTGACGATAACACAAATTTTAGCCCCGAAAAGGCTCTTTCTACAGAAACTTGTGTTGCGGGAACCATCAGTACTATAAGAGAAAGTTTATATAATTCTGGATATTCAAATTTTTTTGATTCCTAAAATATAAAAACTGAACCGGTTTAACCTTTTTTATGATTCTTTTTACTCCTTCAAAAAATAATTATATCGGCTCGGTTACGGTTCTGATATTTATAACGGTTTATAATGGTATAACGGTGGTCACAGACATTCTGGAATTTTGTCAAATAGGTCGATTAAATCTTTAGTCTTCAGTGTTAATGAGTTATATGAGGCCAGGGCAAAATCCAATTTATAAAATATATGCATATATATTGTAAATCCCATTGTTTTTTTAAAAGCAAAAACTATTCGCTCTATGCATATTATATTTTTAGATATGCAAATGTAAAATAATATGGCCTTAAAATTATTTTACTACGATGTTAGACATTTTACATTATATTATGTAATATAATAACAATAATATTTACATTTTTTTAGTGCACTAAATATTTGGTAATGTAAGTAACACACAAAAGATATATAAAGTAATAAAAATATGGTATTGTTTACCAGTCTACTGAATTTTATAAAATATAAAATAATATTTAAAAAAACCACACAGCTGATTTTGCTTTAATATTAAGTGGCTTGAAGCTTAATTACGATTGTAATTCAATATTTTGAAGAAAAAACGAAAAAAAAATATAATCAGTTTTATTTAGGTTTAACGATAATATTAAAAAATAATACAATTACCGCACAGATCGGGAATAATAACATGCGTTATTTTTTAGGCTATAAGTATAGTTGGGTTTGGGTAAAAATAGGCTAAATGGGGTCAATCTTTTAAAATGTCTTATTTTTCTAGTTATTTTGCAAAAAAAAGAATGCCATACAATGTTGTGCAGATTTATTTCAAAACATTTCCATATTTTTTAATTTCGTTTGTAAATAAAATTATTCATCTTGTGAAAATTAATAAGAATATATATAAATATGTTATTTTAACAATTTTTGCAAGTCAAATAATTTTATTTTCAAATAAATTAAAATATATGGGAATGTTTCCCAACAAATCTGGCCACCATTGTATTCCTTAATTTCTTCTAAAAAAATACACGTTACTATTTCGTAAGTTTTAACTACTAAATTTAAATAAGTACAAAATCATTTTAATGTAGATTCAATAATAATTTTATAACCTTGATTCTGGGAAAAAATGAAGTGCAAATTTTCAAAAATAAATACAAAAGTGAAGAGATAAAAGTTTGATCTGAATACTCGGTTAATAAAATTAAAAAATATAATATAAATAAATATACATTTATTCAAATAAAGAAATAATTAAGTAAAAAATAATATTTGTACTGAATTTTTGAGCTAATTAAAAAGTTGCTCGTTATTATGGTTGGCTATTTGCTACTAATTTTTTGCCAAAAACTAACACCTCCTAGCCTTGGGTTTTTTTATAGATATCTCAGCCTTGAAAACATAAATAAATAACTAGCGCCTCAATGAGAGCTTTTGACAAATTATTCTAATTTTTTATTAACCTGTACGAGCTGAAGTTGTAAAAATGTTTAAAATGCCTTAATAAACATTATTCTAGAATGGACCTAACAATTTTTAAAATATATGGGCTAGGCCAAATAGATACTTATAGGATATGGCAAGAAAATTACTTGCACTATAGTGATGAAAAAATAGATATTGGAAATACACAGGTACTCACAGAGGTTAATGATAAATAAATATAGCATAGCATATTCAACATACAGCAATTTTACTAACAGCCAAATTTGATAAACAACGTCTAATTTTAAAATGCAATAAAGCATATATTTAAGGGACAGAATCTTCTTGCTTTGGCGTTCGTTTCCCACCCAACCCTAGGAAGGGACCACCTAATTGGCTTCAGAAAAGAACATGATTTTTGTTTTCAATCCCATAGCAATCAGATTGAGATACACACATTCAACTAACTAGACCACAGATGCTTAACGAAAATGACTATTTTTTAATTAAATATTATAAATAAACATTGGTTATCTCGATCTTATCAAATTTTAGTTGGATGATAAGGAAGTATAGCACAGTAAGAATCCATTAAATATATATTCAAAAAGGAGGCCAGCCAAACATAATAAAATGTTATGAATGCACTCTGTGGATACTTTTATGGTAAGGGCAGGTATCTTGTTGGAACGTGTATGTAAATAGAGCAAAATTTTAAATTTTCTATTGTTTTTAAAATAATTATTTTACTTCTTTAAATCCTAGCTATCATTTAGGGTACTGCATGAACTGATCCAACCAAACTTGAGAAGGTCATAAGATGTAAATAGTCATTACCTTAGACTTCAGATTGGACCTTAATTTTAAAATTATACTTCGAACCAGTCAGATTTGGTTTTTAACAAAATAATCAAATTTTTTGTTTTCCTAATCTTTTTATATTTTAAATATTATCTTTAGATCAAAATTTTATTTCCCTTGAACACTTATAATATTTCAAATTTTGTTTAAATATCAAACTTTTTCAACAGTCCTAATTATAAACTATTGAATCGGACCTATTCCTAATATAAAATTTGGGTCAGATAGGATCCGAATGTATGATTAAGGGTATCAGATCAGTGTCAGTCAAAAAAAATTCTGGATCAGTAAAACTTGAATACAGGGCTCTATTATCACTTGAAAAATACTAAGTTTTTTATTGGGAATAAATCAATAAGAACTAAATTTTAAAGCAATATACATTAAATAAATTTTATATAAAGTCTAAAATATAAAATAAAAGCAAATTTTGCCTAAATCTGTCCTGAATTATAAAAATTATTCAAATAATTTGAATAAAATCATTAGGAATTTTAAATTCTAATTAAATGCAAATATTAAAGTCATTGTAGGAATTAATAAAATAATTTGAAAAAAATTTAGGAATTTTTAAATTACAATCCTTTTTTTGTTATTAAGTCAAAAATTGCATAAAATTTATTTATCATTCCTGAAGGAGTTGTTTTTACAAATGTATTCATTTTATTAGTTTGTTAAATGGCTTGATTTAAGCCAATATTTAAAAATGGCTACCCTCAATATTTTATCCAGAAAAAGATTATGATAGCCTTACGATTTGCTTATAGATGGCAGAAAGATTTGGACATATATTGGCCAAATGTTGATGCTTAGATAATATTTTTCTAGATAAAATATTTTGTTAGCCATAGTTAAAAATCAACTCAAATCATGCTCCATTTTATTAGAGGACAGTATGTGCATAAGCATAGGTGTTATCAATATAATAAATAAATAAACATTGTTAGTTTCAATTTATAGTCAAAATAAACACAAAATTTAAAATGGATAAATATGTTAAAAGGAACATACATAAATATTACAAACAAACAAAAAATATGAGATATCAATTATTAAATATTATAAACTTAAAAATATTAATAAAATTAAAAGAAATAGTTGTAAATAAAACAATAAATATTTTTAGCATTTTAAATAAGCAAAGATCTTTTTGTATGATTAATAAAATTAAAAAGATAAAGTAAAAATGCTTTATATCATTTAAATAAGTTTAATTATAGGAAAAGAGTACATAATTTTTTACATGATTGAGAATAAGAATAAAATAGAGTTCATAAAAGAATAACGAATAACGGTTTCGGCGACAAAGAATATGGAAATTAAATCACATGATCTGTGAGTAACATTTTTGTGCTCTGGGTCTAAGATAAAAAATTATAAGAAAAAATATATTGATATTATTTTTTTTTTAATGACAATATTAGCTTACCAAAAATTAATGAATATGAATTCGATAATAATTAGTGGGATATGGTAGTTTAATAAATTATTCCTAATTAAAATTAGCAAGAATAACAATTTTCTATGGTTTACAATAACAATATCAATACAATATTTTAGAGATACTGTTCCATCTCTAATTTGTAAAGATTGGTATGGAATGAGCGTCGTTATCTCATTCGGCAGCTGGTCAGTTCTATGTCAATAAATAAGGGCGGCTTTGGCCATAATAAATAAAGACGCGTCTCTATGGTTGTAAACACAAGTCAATTTGAGGTTCTTTTCTTTATTTAATAAATATATTTAATACCTTATTCAGATAAGGTAAGTAATCAGTACAGCGAAAAAATTTGAAAAATAAGAAATAAAGTATTACAATTTATTCATATATGAGAATTCAAAGGAATTACAGTTTTAATTACAAATTTAATCTGAAGTAAAAAATTGCCATTAAATAAATGCTATGTTGATAAAAGGTTTTAAAAAAATTCAAAATGACAATAATTAAATTTAAATTAATAAAAAAGATGATTTAAATCCTTTACATGGCAAATCTTTTCTTTTGTGTGCTATTTATTGTCATGATTGACGTTTTGGTGATTATTTTGACTTTCATGTCAATCGATAATTATTTATATTATTCGCGGGTTCATTATATTATCGATTATTAGTTTTAATCATTAGAATATTATCCTGCATTGATTGGTTATGGGTAGACATGTGCGCCGCCGGTCAAATACGCCGCCGCCGATGTAAAATATCGGCGGCGTGGCGGCGTGATACATATTTTTTTATTAAATATTTATTTTATATATTATTTATGAATTGTAATTAGAAGAAAAATAATATAAAATATTTTTTGAATTATTAAAAAATGCGATTTTATTTTATAAAATTAATAAATATTATTTGCTATAAATTTGTTTTGTAACAATCCATATAATACATGTTCTCTCACTTTGAGCAGGTCTGTGACCAATGTGCTAGATAAGATAAGATTAGGATATTAAAACAGAAAAGGTATTGATATTATGCTATATTTTATTCTTTTAATTTTTGATGCTTCAAATATTTTTAATAAAATCATAAATTATATATAAAAAAAATACAATATTTTCTTAATGCAATCTATAAACTTGTTATATAAAATTTATCTTTTATCATAAAAGGAAATTTTAATTAATGATTTTTTTTTGTTGCCATTATAACATATATAAAAATAACAGGACTTAAACAATTATAATGGATGCAACAATGCAATACCCTGTAACAAAATATAGTATATCCTTGCATAACAAAATATAGTATATCCTTGCAAGCAAAGCCTTCTTTTGAATGGAAACATTTTGGATCCTTAATATTAAAAACTGACACAAATAATAAGAGAACCAGTGTTGATACAGATAAAGTCTTTTGTAATATATGCTTCAAATAGCATTTGATAAAGATGGTGAGGATGAAAATAATTATTCATTTTCAGAGTAAATTTTATTATTTTTAAAATATTTGTGAATTTTTTAATTCGTTATCCAATCAAATCTTTTTCTAAAAATATCAGCACATCAAACATAATAAAACATTTACTTGACAAACATGACTTATCATGTAAAGAAGAAATATCTAAACAAAATTTAAAGTTATTCTTTAAACCCATTGTAAAAGATACAACTGACCCTATAAAAGATATAAAATGGATTCTGGTAAGGAATTATGTTCTCATGTGTTACAAAGATTTAATGTCATTCCATTCTATAAATAATACTGGAATGCAAGATTTTCTAAAGGTTATTTGTAAAATCATTATAATTTTTTATAAGGCAATCTTAATTTTTATTTAACTGTTAAGATATTTAATTATTTTATAATGGAATATTTAAATAAAACTGATCTCATCCCACATTTAGAAATTTTTATGGCATATTTTTATTATTAATTTTTTATTATGAAGAAATATGGCATTATTTCAGATACAAAAGATTTACCAGATTGAACAACACTTAGGCGAATGGATTAGATGATGTGTATTTATCAATGAAAGCATACATATATCAACAAATTAATATAGGTCCTAAATTTTGTGCTATAACTTTGATATGTGGACCGCCAAATATAGACGGCGAAATTATATTACTTTTACATATAACGAAATAGACAATAATTTTAATATTGTATTTTATACATTGGTGACACATCATGTCACTCAAAAATATACCGCTGAAACTATTGTTTTCGAGATAAAAAAAGTTGAAAATGAATTTGATTTAGGGACCAAGAAAATTCAAATGGTTACGGATGCAGGTCACAATGTAAAGAAAAGTGTTCGCTTAGGAGAATATGACCATCAGTTACGTTTGAGGCATGGATAAAATAATCTAGTGACAGTCGATGGAATAAAAAAAGTTAATAAAATAGAAAATCTCATTAAAAAGGTGAGAGATTATAGTTGCCTTAAGATTCAAAACAGCTGATTTTGAAAATATAAACGATATCGAGAATAGAAAATGTTTTGAATCGATATCATATACATCGGATATTTTAGATTTGGATGATAATGATCCTTTTTATGAAGATAGTTTAGGGTTTGATGAGGATAGTGCAAATTAAAAACATAAACCTTAAAATTAAATGTGCCTACACGTTGGCATAGTATTTTAATAGTGCTGGAAAGTGTGACTGGCAATAAAAAATCCTATAAATATTCTATTAAATAGAATGGAGAAACCGGATCTCAAATTATTTAACTCCGATTGGGACTTGGTGCATGAACTTTTAAATTTTCTTAAAACCTTCAAAAAACTGTTGAATTTTTATCCGTCTAAAAAGGAATTACTATAAATTTATCCTTATTATTTCGTAGTGAAATTAAAAATCATTTAATTATAAAAGAATATGATAGTCTTCCCATAGCATCCCTTAAACAAAATATGCTTACTAAATTTGATCATAGATTTCCAATAACCGATCTTCAGGTAGTAATTTAAAATACATAAATTATTTTTTTATATTATTTCTCTTGTTTTATATTTTTACTTTGGTGTTAGGAGCACTTTTGGATCCTTGTTTTCAATCTATAAACATAGTAAATAAATATTTAAAGGAAAAAAATTACTCCGGTGCAATTTTTATGTCAACACGCTACTCTACGGCCTTACACGGACTAATTAATCGAATGTGAAACGACGGAAGTTGCTTCAAAATTCGATTATCCTAACTCATTGGCTACAAAACATTCATCTATTCATAATAATAACCTGGAACAATAAGACTATTTAACTAGTTTAGAAAAAGAGTGTTATTCATTATTTTCGCCTTATAAATCAGAGATAAAAGATGTCTTATATTTTTGAAAGATAAGAGCATTGGATCTTCCTAAACTTTAAATATTAGCTAGAAAGGTCCTGTGCGTTCCAGCAATGAGCCCACCCGTCGAGCGTGTATTTTCCAGAGCTGGGCTCACTCTGAACTCTAAAATAAATATAAATAAAATAATATTTATACATGATAATTATAACTTAATAAGATCATTAAATTATAGTTATAAACATAAGTAAGCATAAATTTTATTTTAATAGTGTCTTCAATGAAGTTATAATTTTAATTTAAAAAATTTAAGTTAGAAAGCCGATTTTTGTGGCGGCGTCTAAATCGATTCGCCGCTGCCAGATCATTTTAAATAAAGAAACGCCGCCGCCGAAAATTCTGTCGGCGCACATGTCTAGTTATGATTAGTGTACGTCTAGCCGAACCCAAAACTGACTCGAGTTGTGAACTAAATTAATAAACTCTAGTGCTGTAAACATTTCTAAAAAAATCAAACGCGTTCGCGTTCAACGTTCATTGACAAAAATCGAACGCATTCACGTTCAAGTTCATGTTCAAAAAAAAGGAACGCGTTCACGTTCATAAAACCGTTCAAAATTTTATGAAAAATTTTTCTTAAATTTAATTTAATATTAATAAGCTTATATTTTTTAATACAATATATTTTAGCCATGTTAAAAAATAATATAGTTTTATTTTGATAATTTAATTATAAATAAAATATATTATAATATAATATAGCGAATAAAAAGATATTTTTATTTATAAAAAATTTTTCTTATTAAATTTTAATAACAATTGTTTTCAAAATATTTATCTGATAGACAGGAACACTTGCCAGTTAATACGGCATTAGCTATACTAAAAACGCGCTCCACAGGGGCAGATTCGGTATTATACTTAATAAACAGCTCTTTTAACGTGGAGAATTAATTAAAAACATATTGTTTTGTTATTTGCAAAAAATTGAGATAAGTTATCCTCCTCCAATCCATTCTCTACTCCCGACAAAAAAAAAGGATATCTCGAAATTAACAGTTCTCTAGGGTTTTCAAAGCATTTTTTTCAATAACGTTATATATTTATTTTTAATAGGTTCGTTCTGTGGAAGTTTTATCCATGTGTTTAAATGCTGGATGTATAATTGCAGAAATAACATATTGATCCTTAAATATATGTTGAAATCTTTAAAAAAATAAAATATATGTAATTAATTGAGAGTGATCGGTTTAATACCTTTTATTAATCCCATTTAATACGGCGTCTATCAATGGTTGACCATATTTGAGGCCACTAATTTTTATAATTTTAAAATAACTATCGTTATTGTTGGGGTCAAATATTCCAATGATAATTCATCTGATTTTGGATTTTCAGAATCAGATGATGAAGATTAAATAATAATATCCATGCTTATGCTAATCTATTAAATTAAAATATACAATAATATTCAAATTAATAAACTATGTGTTAAAAATATTGAAATGTGAAAAGGAAATACACAGCCGATTAAAAAATAATACATTTTTTAAAAAAAATCGGAATATTAAATTTTTCAAATAAATAAAAATAAAAAT